ATATAATTTTTAACTAGGGAAAAGTATAAAATCACATTAAACACCAGCTTAGGAGATTTACAGCCTGAAGAGAAACAGGAAACGATTCAGCCTATGTAATAAGTTTATGTTCCTTGAAAAAGTATAATGTGAAGCTAATGCTGTTCTTAGCTAGAGGCCAGCCTTGCCAAAGTAGAAACTAAAGGATGGATAGAGGCAATTAATTACTAGGGTAAACTTAACTGGACTCCAATGGATTTGTACTCCTCTCATTCCAAGTGATAACTTCTAAATGGAAGAAGGTTCTTAATTAGAAAATAACATCACGTGGCCTACTCTTAGCCAATTTCTATATATGAAAGAGGGATTAGGCTAAGGAATTGATTACACATCACCTCCTGGAATCTAAAATTGTGGTTTAGCCTGCTCATCTGCCCAGGAAGGGACCAACTTTATTGGATGAGAGACTCATGGCATGTTGTCTTTATACACAACCCTATTCCATCATAATCTCTATCCTTACACTACCCTAAATATCACTGGGCTTTTACAAGGGCATGTGTCAGGACCCTTCGCTCTGTAGCATTTCAAGGGAATGCTATAATAATTTTCCAGTTTAGCATTTCTGCCCTTGTGACACAAGGAAGCTATCTCACGTATGCTACTACACTGCAATTTTATTACAGTTTATTTCAAAAATTAATCCTTTTCTAGCAACAATTGCAGGGCAGTTAGATGATTGCCATGTAATTTTCCTACCAGGCAATGAAAACATCCAGGTCACCTGCGATATTGCTAATTGTTGCTATTTAGCTTCAAGAGTATGATAGAAGCCACTTTCTAAAAATCATGTGTATATCACATATATAAACCTTAGTACTACTACTATTACTACTACTTTCTTCTTCTTCTTCTTCTTCTTCTTCTTCTTCTTCTTCTTCTTCTTCTGTATTTCTCTAGATTTTTTTTGCTAACTTTTGGCTTTAAAAAATTATCATGCATTTGGAGAGGCATATTGTAGGGTGCTTTTTTTTTCCCATTCCAATTGTTGGATTTTTTTTTAAAAAAAATTGTTAATATTTGAGTTTTCAGATAAAATCACATGATTCCACACAATCAGTTACATTCACTACTATTCAAATAATATTTTCCTCTAGCTAATTTCTAATTAATACTAATTTCCAGTGGGGACTTCTGATACAATTAGGAACATTAACTTAATTTTTAAGACAGGTGGCTAAGTATCAATAAAAGTGGAAGGTACTTCTCAGTCAAAGTTAATTTGGCTTTAGTTCCCTTCTTCGGCCCCCCTTCAAAGTTTGTTAGCATGCATGTAATCATGTTTTAGTCAGATAGCCATGTATTAGAAGCCATCTCAAGCAGGAGTGGTATTCACTTACCTTCGCTACTGGTTCACAAATGTGAGTGTGCACATGCGCAGAGCATCAAAAATGGGACGTGATGACATACGGGTGGGTGGGTGAAGCCTCTCACAGCCGCTGCTACTGGTTTGCTCGAACCGGATAAAACCAGCTGAATGCCACTACTGATCTCAAGTGTTAGGCTGAATAAGCAAACATACTTACTTGTTACGCTGCATAGACTATTATGCAATATAGTATGTTTAGTAAATATACCTAGACTAATAGTCTTTGATCTCCAGCTAAATAATATACTGTGTCTCTTAATTTGCTGCAATCTGAATTCTGTTTTACTGTATGTAAATGGGTGCAAATCTGAAAATCTGTTTTATGAAACAATAATAGGAATATAAATAAATGTTCAATTTGTCAAAATGCCCAGTGCATTCCTGATCTGAAGGCCTCAATATGCATGACTCTTTTTAAATAGTCCCCTGAGATTGTGGGTTGGTTGAAAATTCTTTGCATTAGAATAAAATATGTGTTTCATAACAAAGAGATTTATGGATTTAAGTTAACAAAAAGACTGATGAATAACAACACTCATTGTGGATTTTTTTTTATGTGTATGTGTTTGTAGCATTTGTATATCTTTCATTTAAGTCCCTGCAAGGTTGTTTTTTTTTTGGGGGGGGACAAAGTTTTTCAGAACTGGTTTGTTATTATTTCCTTCCAAGGACTAAGACAGAGTGATTGGTTCAAGATCATCCAAATGACTTTGTGCCTAAGGCTAAATTAGAATTCACAATCTCCTAGTTTCTAATCTGATGCCTTAACCACTCTAGCTCCAAACTAGCTCTCCAGCCATATTTACAGTTTATTAAAAAGCAGGTAACTGAGAATATATGAGTATTGTTTGTTTATCATTTTTATTGTTGGCAAGCTTGTGAAGGGCAGCAGTGTTTAAATTGCAGATAAAATTAACCAATTTAAGGCTATAGCATATTGCTTGCATGTTATTTCCCAAACAAATATTTTTGGTCCATATGCTGTCACTATAGTGGTCGAGCATCTGCTACTATAACTGATGTTACAGTTTTGGAGAGAGGCATTGAGCCCCCTCCATCTTTTTTTTTAACCCCTACGTGGGGGGGGGGAACCTCATAGGGGCACAACATCCTTTTAAGTCATAGCATGGCTGGTACAAATCCAAATGCAAGAAGGACTTTACACTTTTCATTACCTAGATTGGCAGCAACCTAGATTAACATGATGACGTCCAAAATTGCATTGTTTCAAAGGCTTGAAACCTAAGACTGATAATAATAATAATAGAATAACTATATAACAATAAAAGAAGTAGCTTGTTTATGATACCCAAGTTTCTTTCAAAAGTATGCAACCTATGGCTTTAAGAAAGGACAGTGTATACCTCCCCAGGTATACATTGTCTAATCATAATCATAATAATAATCAAAAGTTATGAAATCATAAAATCATAAGTCTATGAGCCTTGGTGGCGCAGCGGACTAAAGTACTGTTAAGTAGCATTTAGCTGCCAGCTGCCTGCAATTACTGCAAATTCAAATCTCATCAGGCTTAAGGTTGACTCAGCCTTCCATCCTTCCAAGGTAGATAAAATGAGGACCCGGATTGTGGGGGCAATAAACTTACTTTGTATAAAAAGAACACCGCTTAGAGGGGGCCGAAAGCCCTACTAAGCAGGCATGTACAAAAGTGTGAAGGCTATTGCTTAACGCATTGTAAGCCGCCCTGAGTCTCCGGAGAAGGGCGGCATATAAATTGAACCAATAAATACAATAAATAAATAAATATTTGTCAAGCATAAAAGGATAACAGGTAAAAGTATAAACATAATTTGAATACATGAAAAGAGTAAGTAAAAAGGAATATTAGGACAGGGACAGTAGGCACGCTGGTGCACTTATGCATGCCCCTTACAGACCTCTTAGGAATGGGGTGAGGTCAACAGTAGACAGTTTAAGGTTAAAGTTTTGGGGGTTTGAGGAAGAAACTACAGTCAGGTAGTGCATTCCAGGCATTGACCACTCTGTTACTGAGGTCATATTTTCTGCAATCGAGTTTGGATTGCTTCCCTTGAGTTTGTATCTTTTATTTGCTTGTGTATTGTTGTGGTTGAAGCTGAAGTAGTCATTTGTAAGTCCCTTGAATCAAATCACACCAAAATTTCTATCCCAATATTTCAGATAAAGGCTTATGGGACAAAATACATACCTTAAGCCTTGTAAAGTCTGATGACATTCACTAAAAGAGTCACTAAGCTTCAACTGAAAATATCAAGTAGGCCCCTCATGACATTTATTCAAATAGTTTCTAAACCTCAAGCTTAAAATATCAAGGGCCCCTTAAAAGTGGCTTACCACTCTCCCTACCAAAAAGAGAAAAAGAAATGAGCTAGAACCTACCCTGTTTTCCCCAAAATAAGACATTCCCTGATAATAAGCCCAATTGGACTTTTGAGCGCATGGCAATAAGGCCAAGCACTTATTTCAGGGTTCAAAAAAATATAAAACAGGATCTTATTTTGGGGAAAACAAGGTATCTACAGAGGAATCTTGAGCCTGCAGAAGCAGTGCTAAGAATTGCAAGCAATCTATTCATTGACCAGTCCTGACTAGAATAATAGGTTTTTCATTCATGCATTCATTTTAGGTGCTGTTCAATTTGTGATCTGAGGTGATTCTGAGTGGCTCAATTTTACCATTTAAAATCATTGACCATAGTCCCTGCAGTCTCTGAGATTTTTTTAAAAAAAGCTTCCTTTCAAAGTGCAGTTCCCCATAGAGGAAAGTTAAACAACCTGCTTTACTGCAGACACAATTTATTCCTTGGCATAAATTTTGAATGACTTAAACAATCTCCTGTTCCAGATATTAGGATGATCAGTCTGTGTCAATATTGGCAGACTGTTGTTTAAACAGGGAGGGGGGGATATTGGAAAGATACGCAGAGGAGAAACATATTACAAGAAGACTATCAGAAAAAGTGGGAGGAGAGGAATGGTGTTAGTACTTCTGTGTAAAATAGCTAGCACACAATGATACATTCTCACCTGTAGGATAAGCCAGAGCAAAAAAGTTGGGTCTCGGGAATTTCTGCCTTTCATTTAGGTTGGCTTTGCATATTATCTTATTAGAATATGATTTGTATAATCTGCAGGATATGTTTCTTAGCCCTTTATTTAATCTGTGTAGGATCCACTGAAGCAGTGGTGGAATTTTTTCTACCGGTTCTATGGGCATGGCTTGATGGACGTGGTATTGCTTAGTGGGTGTGGCTTGGTGGGCGTGGCAGGGGAAGGATACTGCAAAATCTCTATTCCTACCCCACTCCAGGGGAAGGATACTGCAAAATCCCCATCCCCTCCCCACTCCTGGGGGAAGGATACTGCAAAATCTCCATTCCCAACCCACTCTGGGGCCAGCCAGAGATGGTATTTGCCGGTTCTCCAAACTACTCAACATTTTCACTACCGGTTCTCCAGAACCTGTTAGAACCTGCTGAATTTCACCCCGCTCTGAAAAATGTAACATACGTGCACAAAAGGGGGGGGGGGGTGTTGTGTTACATCAAGATATATAAACTTAAAACTCATCTAAACATTTATCCAATTTACAGATCATTTCAAAGAGGAATACAACAACATTTACAGAAGATTCTACAGGTTAAAGGAAAAGACACACCAAGTTCAGCAGACTTCTCTGCAGAAGGCCCAAAGAATGAAAACTTGCAACTGCTTGTCATTTCTAATTTGGACTTGTATTTTTTACGAGATTCCTACTTTACTATCACCGAAGAGGACCAGCGTGTATTTGCAAGCTAAAAGAATAATGGGGCTAGCTAAGGATCAGGGAAAAGCCATGCATCGGACAAAGCGTGGATGGATGTGGAATCAATTTTTTTTACTGGAGGAATATACTGGTCCAGATACTCAATATGTGGGCAAGGTAAGCACTGCGATCAAAAGACCATTTAGAAACATGATAGAATTCATCGAGGGCCAGGACGAGCCGGGTGGTGGTGGAATTTCTCAGTAACATGGAATGTAGGCTTTAGCTGGGGGGAAAAAATGAGATTTCACACCTAATAGTTTTGTGAATTATTCCTGTTTGAACGGAGAATGGTCCTCTAATGCTAGAATTTAGAGGATTCCTCAGAGGGATGCTAGATAGATAGCCCTCCACTTATGACCACAACTGAGCCCACAATTTCTGTTGCTAAGTGAGTTCATTGTTAAAAGAGTTTTGTCTCATTTTACGAACTTGCTAAATGAATCACTGCAGTTAAATCAGTAACACGGTTGTTAAGTGAATCTGTTTTCCCCATTGAGTTTGCTTGGCAGAAGATTGCAAAAAGGGAATCACATGATCCCGGCTACTACAGTCATCATAAATATGAACCAGTTGCTAAGCATCTGAATTTTGATCGCATGGCCATGGGGATGCTGCAATGGTTCTAAGTGTGAAAAACACTCATAAGTCCGTTTATGTTCTGCACCAGCTATGGACCCCAAAGAACGCAGCACACACAAAGTCTGTACAAAGCTTAGTTTACTAAATTAAATCAGTCTTTTTCAAATAAAGGCTGTTAATTAACTTTCTTAACAGCCTACAAGAATCCAAAGAATAAATAATTGTAATCTTACTATGGTTGGCAGAAAGCCCAGAAGCAATTTGCAGGAAACTGATAAGAGAACATCAGGACGTGAAGGGGAGTGAACGAAGTTGTCCCCTGCAAATTGCCTCAGTCATTGTCCTTCCTTAAATAGGCTAAGGGAGTAGCCAATTAGCCCCAAGCCTTACTCTCGAGGAGATCTCCTCCTGAGGAACCACTCCTGCCTTTTGGCAGCTCTGTGCGCCCATGCATCGAGAAGAGGCTCCTCCTCTTCTTCCTCTTCACTTATGGGAGCTTCTGGAGGTTTTGAATTCAGCCCTGGCTGAATCCCTGCCTCTGGCACCACATCTTCTCCAGCCTCCTCATTTTCTGACTTGAGTGCCAGCTGCACAGGCTGCTGGCGCAGCACCACACCAGCCTCCTCGCTGTCGGAATCAGCTACTAGCTGCACAGGCCACTGACAGGCCACAACCTTTATTCAGTGCCGTTGTAACCTTAAACGGTCATTAAATGAACTGTTGTAAATCAAGGATTATATTCTTTTTTTTTAAAAAAAAAACATTGTTAGATTCATCAGCAAAGTCTGATGGGAAAAAAGTACTTCTAGAAATCAGAATTTATCCAATTTTATCACAGCATTAATTCAGCCTTTTGAAGTCCAAAATGTGCAGTTCCTACTAATTTACAAAGTATAATTTACAAGTAATCAGGAAGAAGGCTTTTAACCTAATCTGCAGTGAAATCATGAGCAATTTACTTAAGAAAGTGGAAGTTCTGATGTCACATTTTTTCCTGGGAATATAAAATAGCTTAAATATACTATGACAGTGATGGCGAACCTTTTCGGCACCGAGTGCCCAAACTAGAATGTGCGTGCATGTGCGTGCATGCACGTATGTTGGAGTGCTGGAAACCCAAAGACCAGCTGGCTGGTGTGTGCATGCCTGGGGCATTTTTTGGGCCGTTTTTGGCCTGAATAATGGCCGTTTTCTGGCGTTCCAGCACACGTGAAGACCAGCTGGTCAGTGCGCATGTGTGCACTGGAAACCAGAAGAGCAGCTGGCGACGGCATGCGTGCCCATAGAGAGGGCTCTGTGTGCCACCTCTGGCACATGTGCCATAGGTTTGCCATCACAGTAGTATGGTAACAATGAATATGACATGCCAAGGATGGGAACTGGAAACTACCTACTGGCTGAAGGATATGTTTATTCATTCACTTGTATGTGGTGAGGAATGAGGACGGGAGAGAGATAGGGGAAAGATATATGAAATGTTTCTCTGCAGTATTAATGGTTATTTTAAAAATTAGAATCAGTTCTACCCATAGTTCTATCTGTATAAAATGAAAATACCAATCCCTAATAAATATTATATTTGGGTCAGAATAGAATAGAACAGCATTAGTTACATTTCAATGGGTATCTGTAATATAAAAATCATAGTTACCTTTCTCTACTATACCATAGATCTGGAAGAAACAGCACTTAATTATCTCCTGTCATTGTAAGAGATATTTGTGAGTTCATTCTCATTGTCGTTGCATTAGATCTATGATAACTAGGCTCTTTGGCCACTTGAAAGAACTGTAATTCTGAGGAAAAGACTTCCAGAGTTTAAAAGCAGTTTTTTTTTAAAAAAAATGTAATTCATAGAGAAATAGTACTGTACAGAAGGAACACAAGTAAGAATAACATGGATCTGAAGCTAATGAACCTAGCCATGCCTAAATAGCATATTACCTTGACATTAAATTTGAAATCACATGCAGTTTCTATTATCTCCTTGCCAATGGCATTATATCCATGGATAGAGAATGCAGTTCACAAATGCCAGTATTTCACTGCTGTGGGAGGGCAGTCCATACTCTTATTGGAAGAAATTCTTGGCTGAATTGGGAGTAGCATGTTGTCATGAGTAGGTGATGGAGTCCAAATTCAGGACAGCTGGCTTCTCAGTAGGAAGAGTTTTGAAAACAATAGAGGCTTGCCATCATGAAAGGTACAGAACCACGGGGCTGTGGTGGAATGTAGTCTGGATTTCCTTGAAGGAGGGGCTGTTTTCTAAAGGGCAAAGAAGCTGTGGAACTTGGAAAGTTTGGTTGGTAGGAAGAGGATTAAAATGGCTTTTCCCTAGATATTGCCAGACCATATCTGTGGTCATACAAATAGTTGCTCTAATGTGGCAAGATTATGTCTATGAATGAAGTACACTAAAAGAAACTAACTTAACTAACTCCATGTCTCTTTCTTGGCTCTTGGGTCCTGACATAGGCAATATAACACCTTATTCTCTTGTATTTGGGTGAAGGGGAAGGGATATGAGTGTATTAAATATGAGTATTGTATTAAATTGTAGGATTATACCTCTATGCCTTGATGATCATTCACTCAAGCAATCTCAGTTCTTCTAAATTGCTTGTCCTCATTCTTGGGTTCAAAACAAGAAAATTGGAAAGCTTAGCATAACAGAATTTACATTATCTGATTTTAATTCTTGGTCAACCTTTTTTTTTTTTTCTTCAATTGCATCAAAAAGTTAGGCAAGACCATTGTTTTCACATATAAGCAAGTGTCTCAATACAGTGGCCGTTTTTACTGAGTGCTGAATGAAAGGTAGGAAGTAGAGCAGAGGTGGGTTCTACTTACCTTTACTACCGGTTCGCAATGGGGCTGTGCACATGCGCAGAAGCGTTTTGATGATGTCAGGATCAGTGGAGCCTCCCGCCAGTTTTACTACTAGTTCTATAGAACCGGTGTGAAGCGGGGGAAGTAGAGGATGAGGCAGGGAGGCAGGAAGCTGCAGAAGATCAAACATGTCTCAGCAAACAACATATGGTGAAAGTAAGTCCTCTAGCTTTTGTCCCCAAGCTAAATCCTTCTATACTTGGAGTCGAGGCTTCAGTTCCATGCCCTCAAGTTAAGGTATACCAATTGCTGTGTCTCTACAACCAGCCAATTGATCCAGGCAGATTACACATTCAAGTTATGTAAATTATGTATAACCAGTTATGAATTGAAGTCTTGGGTATTTGTTTATCAGCTCCTTCAGGATGTCTGCCTTTGTCTCAGTTCATCATAGGTTGCCTGTCCAGTCTGCAAAAATCTTCTGTACCTATAAGGCTTCATATATTTTCCCTGCCTCATAGATGGGATAAGTCATAAACATCAGGCCCTTATAGTAAATTTATTTTTTCTAAAAAATACACTCAGTCATGCTATAAATTAAACAACTGTAAACATTATGCATTGCTCTCCATAAATTGCACAGTGTTTGTGTGTGTGTGTGTGTGTGTGTATACATACATACATACATACATACATACGTAATGGTATTTGTTCCCCTCACACATATGTGCTAGTCGTTCCTGACTCTAAGGGGTGTTTCAAAGCTGAAGAACCAGTGCTGTCCGAAGACATCTCCGTGATCATGTGGCCGGCATGATTAAGCGCCAAAGACGCACTGAACGCTGTTACCTTCCCACCAAAGGTTCTACTTGCATTTTTTATGTGCTTTCAAACTGCTAGATTGGCAGAAGCTGGGACAAGTAACGGGAGCTCACCCCATTACGTGGCACTAGGGATTCAAACCGCTGAGTTGCTGACCTTTTGATCGATAAGCTCAGCGTCTTAGCCACTAAGCCACTGTGTCCCTTCATACATACATACATACATACATACATACATACATACATACACATACAATACATAAATTCATACATACATACACACACATATCTATCAATGGAACTGATAGGGTGGGATGGTACACTGAGTTACTCTCTGGCTAGCGAGCAAGCATTGGCTGACATTTTCCCCCATGCTCAATGGTTGAACAAATGACTAATTTTTGATCCTTTGTATCCTCATGACACATAAACATGGCTATGCATCTACTGTTCTGATATCCAAATAAGTCTGTCCAGTGTAAACCGCATGCATCAGATTTGGATCATTTTAAAATGAATTCAGAAAGACTGAGAGACAGAACATCTAGTTCTTTGCTCAAAAAGAAAAAAAAAGGAATGGATCTCTTTCATTCCCCCCCCTTTTTTTTGTACATGTGCACTCTCCCTCATCACCATAATCACAAATCTTAATTTCCTATTCCCTGCCTCAAATTATCACATTGAGAATTTTAAGCCTGAATGCTTCTGTTATACCTGAGCACTGACTTCATTTACTTTCTCCTAAAGAAAGCCTCTAGCCATAACTAAACAAATAGAAGCAATGGAATCTGTATATTGTACATTAATGTGAATGAAACAATTTATTTCTCAATTAAATATTGACAACAATATTGGTCTTATATTCACTTTCATTCTTGATTCACT